CTTTCATAGGCTTTTTTAGGTGTGGTTTGAGTGTGGGCGAGGACACAGGGACCCCATGATCCCCTATTGCCCGGGGGCCCCATGAGTTGTCTACTGTAATTTTTCCACTAAACTTTTTTTTGTGAATGAGTAGCGGTACCATGTACCCCATACTCATTCACATGGGAAGGGGGATGGGATCTGGGGGCCCCCTTGTTACAAGTACATGATCCAGTGCAGAGTGGCCGCCTACCCGCAGGATATATGCCGAGAGCTGGTAAAAATTTTACAAAAAAAAAAAAATCGACCTTCCTATCTATTTACTAACACCAGCGGCATAAGGACTGAAGATAGTTCATGTGAACTGGGAGAGTTTAGTTCCGCTTTACCAAATCATTGATATTAATTACATCAAGCTGGGCTCCTTTAATGCTCTAAAAAAGAAACCTTTTACATATTTCAAATCATTTCCCTTCAAGATTATCGCTCATTATGTATGAAAAAAAAATGGGGGAATAAGTAATTTGTTACATTCTCCCTTCAGCCCCCCACTGGCAGGGAAATAAGACCCATTTATAGGCTGAAAAAAAGAAAAATGAGATATAGAGTTTATGAAATAAATGAGGACGCAGAGAAGAAGGAGGAGGGGGGAGGAGGAGGAGGAGGAGAGGAGGTTAAAAGAGCAGAATTCATCACTGTTATCATCAAACTAGAGCACAGAGAGTAAATGAAACAGACTTTTCATATGAAAATGAGAACCTATATATGCTGATTTCTGATGTCCCCAAAAGAAATCCAACACACACATACATATATATATATACAGTTGTGTTCAAAAGTTTGCATCCCCTGGCAGAAATTGTGAAATTTTGGCTCTGATATTGAAAATTTGACTAATCCTTCTTTTATTGAAGGACGATGATCATATGAAGCCATTTATTATTACGTAGTTGTTTGGCTCCTTTTTAAAACCTAATGGCAGCAGAAATCACCCAAATGGCCCGGATCAGAAGTCTCCGCCCCTGGATCAGAAGTCTCCGCCCCCGGGATCAGAAGTCTCCGCCCCCGGGGTCAGAAGTCTCCGCCCCCGGGGTCAGAAATCTCCGCCCCCTGGAATGTTGGGCCTTGGTACAGACACACAAGGTGACACACACGGGTTACAATGCTAATTAGAGGTAAATGTCCAACATCTGTGGCTTTTTAAATTGCAATTAGTGTCAGTGTATAAATAGTCAATGAGTTTGTTAGCTCTTACGTGGAAGCACTGACTAGGCTAGATACTGAGCCATGGGGATCAGAAAAGAACTGTCAAAAGTCCTGCGTAACAAGGTAATGGAACTTTATAACGATGGAAAAGGACATAAAAAGATGTCCAAAGCCTTGAATATGCCAATCAGTGCTGTTCAATCACCTATTAAGAAGTGGAAAGTTCGGGGATCTCTTGATACCAAGCCAAGGTCAGGTAGACCCAGGGGCGGACTGACCATTTGGAAACTCGAGCACTGCCCGAGGGCCCGGGGTCTGTAGGGGGCCCCATGATATGCCCCTGGTACCTTTGTCATAGGCTTTTTTGAGTTTGGGCAAGGACACAGGGGCCCCATGATCCCCTATTGCCCGGGGTGCCCCAGCAGTTGTCAGTCCGCCCCTGGGTAGACCAAGAGATTGCAGCCCTGACAGAAGAATTATCCAGGATTCAAAGAGAACTCCCACAGGTAACCTCAAAAGAAATACAGGCTGCTCTGGAAAAAGACAGTGAGATGTTTTGAAGGAGCACAATATGATGACACTTGAACAAAAATGAGCTGCATGTGGAGGTGCCAGAAAGAAGCCTTTACTGCATCAATGACACAAGAAGGCCGGTGGCATGTCAAGGTGTTGTCAGGCATATTGTAACCGGGCTTTTTTTGTGGCATTGGTGCAGTAAGGCTACTTTCTGGCACCTCCCCCATGCAGCTCATTTTTGTCCAAATATCACCGTATTGTACTCCTTAAAAACAACCACACCGTCTTTTTCCAGAGCAGCCTGGATTTCTTTTGAGGTCACCTGTGGGTTTTTCTTTGAGTCCCGGACAATTCTTCTGGCAGTTATGGCTGCAATCTTTCTTGGTATATCTGACCTTGGCTTGGTATCAAGAGATCCCCGAACTTTCCATTGTGGGTGTGTATATGTATATTATTATTATTATACAGGATTTATATGTATATACATGAGGGCTGTACTGAAAGTAATGCAAAAAAGGACATAAATTGCTTATTAATGTATAAAGGTCCTTCACATGTCACATGTTGGTAGAGTAACTCTTCCACTATAGTAACTCTTCTTCATCTTTTTATTGCAGGTAAATAATGGATTCCAAGCAGAAGCAATGTGCCGCCATTGAGTTCTTGATGAAGGAGGGGTGCAGGCTGTCCGACATCCACAGAAGTCTACAAAATGTTTATGGAGATGACACCATTGGCAAGTAGGGCTGCTGGTAGAAACTGTGGGGCCCCATACAACCAACCTGACAGCCCCCCCCCCCCTCCAAAAAAAATAACACACTAACTATGCTTCAGTTATGAATGAACACAGTGATTGATCAGTGCATATCACTTATTGTGTTCATTCTGGAAAGGAAGGGGCTGGTAAATGTGACATATTTACCCGACCCCTTCCCCACTCTCCATCCTGAAGGATTTTATTGTGTGGGGGCAGCTGCCGGTGGGAAGGAAAGGAGGGAAGCCAACAGCACCGTGGGGCTGGGGGCACACAGGGGGGGCCTGAGCAGCAGGGGGAAATGTATGGTGCACAGGCAGGGTGATGGGTGTGGCAGGGGGCAATTAGAGGAACAAATCCCTTGTATGGCTCTCTCTGCATCAGCTGTAAGCCAGTGGCTGGGAGAGGAGAGAAGGAGAAGGAGAAGAGAAAATGAGAGGAGAAGGAGAGAAGGAGAAGGAGAGAAGGAGAAGGAGAGGAGAGAAGGAGAGGAGAGAAGGAGAAGAAGGAGAGGAGAGAAGGAAGAAGAAGGAGAGAGAGAGAAGGAGAAGAAGGAGAAGAGAGAAGGAGGAGAAGGAGAGAAGGAGCAGAGCGAAGGAGGAGACGGAGAAGGAGAAGGAGAAGAGAGAAGGAGTAGAAGGAGAGGAGAGAAGGAGATGAGAGGAGAGAGAGAAGGAGAGGAGGAGAGGAGAGAAGGAGAGGAGAGAAGGAGAGGAGAGGAGAGAAGGAGAGGAGAGAAGAAGGAGAGAGGAGAGAGGAGAAGCAGAGGAGAGAAGGAGAAGGAGAAGAGAGAAGGAGAGAGGGAGAAGAGAGAAGGAGGAGAAGGAGAAGAGAGAAGGAGGAGAAGGAGAAGAGAGAAGAGAAGAGAAGAGAGAGGAGAGAAGGAGAGGTGTGTCAGGAATGGACTCAGTACTGGTGGTGGGACTCACCTGCCATGTGGGCTGCAGTACCAGGGCTGACCAGCAGGTGCTCTCAGCAGCCAGAAGCTCACTCCTGCAATCAGCCAACACCTGGGGCTGATTGCAGGAGGTGTATTTAAGGAATGGCCAGACCTGCAGTCAGGGCCTTGGTGTATTGTTTCCCATGAGCCCCTGTACCTGGTATCCTGTGAGTCTTCTGTTGCCGACCTCTGCATTGTTCTTGACCCTGCTGACCATCTCCTGTTTAACTCCTGGCTTGCCTGACCATCCTTCTGCCTGATCCTCTGTCCTTCTGCCTGACCACCGCGCTGCCCGTGAGTTACTGAACCCGGCTTGTGACCCTGACCATTCTCTGCCTGCTCCTTCCCGGTACCTCGCTGCCCGCACATTGCTGACCTGGCCTGGCCTGCCTGACTACGCCTTACGCTACCCAGACGATCCATCCATCCCGCACGGATCTGTCCCTGTTACCAGGTCTGCCAGCCTCTTCACGTCAGGCTCCTTTCCCCGCACACCTCTGACGACGCTCTCTGCCATTGCCAGACGTACTCAGGGGTCCTGACCTGGTCTCAGTCTGCTCCAAGTCCATCCCCACCATCAGGGGCCCTGGTGAATAAGCAGATTGGGACTTAGACCCCGCGCCCTGAGGAACCCCGTGCTGTGGGCTGCTACAGACGCCGCCAGGCGGTGCTTAACAGTACCAACCGGCCTGCCTGACCATTCCACCTCTCCAGCCCTGACTACACCTGTGTTCCCACACATTTCTGGTCATACCCGGATCCCTAACATTACACCAAGGCCAGTCCTGACCAGAAGTGGCTGCACAGGGAAGCCATCTTGGCTTATTGTTGGGAAGGATGCATCCTGAGGATGTTGTGTACTTGTCGCTGCTAGTCCTAGATGACAGAGATTATGCCTATCAGATTCTGAAGGAGTATAGCAGGGATCAGCTGCTAGAATGCATACAAGTTGCTCATTCACTAGTAGATCAGGGCACTGAGTTTTCTGAGGTGCAGCCATTGATCCAGGTTTGTGCTGAGTTGGCTCTGTCCTGCACCCCTGGAAGCAGGGATGACTTTTTTCCCCCATTTAGTGTGGATCAAGTGGAATCGCTGGTATGGTTGTTGGAGGATGATCCAGATTGCTTCCATTAGCATTATGCAGCTTGTCCATCATATGTGCTTATGGATTGCATAAACGCAGTGCAGTCTTTGATCAGACAGGCTATATGTAAGTTGAGCTTCGTTCAACCTGTATTACAGTCCTGGTCAGACTTGTTACACCCAGCCTCAGTCAGTTTGCAAAAACCCAGTCCTGCTTCTAACCTATTTCTTCAAAGCTCTATTCCTGCATTCCTGACAGCACCCCCAGTGACAGCCCAGTATACCCTGCTATCTACCACGTCAGTCCCACGCTCCCACTTGCTGCACCTATCCTGCCTTTAACCCTGTAAAGAAGTCCTCTGTAGCAAACTGCTCCCTCCTCTGTTCTACCCTCCAGCTCTTCTCTGTCCCCAGCTACTCCATCCATTTACAGACCTGCATTTACTTGCAGTGCCCCAGTAACTAAACCCAAGAAGAAGCGAAAATTCTTTCCAACCAGTACCATCCTGCTAGTATCCAAACCAGTCAGCCTGCTGTCTGAGAACCCACCTTCCGTTGTTCAGCCTGATGCCCTGATGCCTGATGACCCAGTGTACGCTACCCAGCCTGATGGCCCGATCCAGCCCGATGACCCGATCCGGCCTGATGACCCGATCTGGTGTGACGACCCGATTCGGCCTGACGACCCGATCCGGCCTGATGATCCTACCCGGCCTGATGGTCCTCTCCAGCTTGGTGGCCTGGTGCCCGCTACCCAGCCTGATGACTTGATTCAGCCTGATGACCCGGTGTTCGTGATCCAGCCTGATGACCCGATCCAGCCAGATGACTCGGTGCCCGCTGTCGAGCTTGGTGACTCAGTGCCCACTGTCGAGCTTGGTGACTCGGTGCCCGCTGTCGAGCTTGATGACTCGGTGCCCGCTGTCGAGCTTGATGACTCGGTGCCCGCTGTCGAGCCAGATGACTTGGTGCCCGCTGTCGAGCTTGATGACTCGGTGCCCACTGTGGAGCTTGATGACTCGGTGCCCGCTGTCGAGCCAGATGACTTGGCGCCCGCTGTCGAGCTTGATGACTCGGTGCCCGCTGTCGTGCCAGCTGTCGTGCCAGATGACTTGATGCCCGCTGTCGTGCCAGGTGACTCGGTGCATGCTGTTGTCGAGCTTGATGACTCGGTGCCCGCTGTCGTGCCAGATGACTTGGTGCCCGCTGTCGAGCTTGGTGACTCGGTGCCAGCTGTCGAGTGTGGTGACTCGGTGCCCGCTGCTCCGCCTGATGGCCCAGTGCCCGCTGCTACGCCTGATGGCCCGCTGCCCGCTGCCTTGCCTGCTGCTCTGCCTGATGTCCCGGTGCCCCTGCTGCTCTGCCTGATGGCCCGGTGCCCGCTGCCTTGCCTGCTGCCTCGCCTGATGGCCCGGTGCCCGCTGCCTCGCCTGATGGCCCGGTGCCCGCTGCCGCCCGATGTGCCTCTGCCCCGCTGCCCAGCCCGATGTGCCTCTGCCCTGCGCAGCCCAATGTGCCTTTGCCATCTGCGCAGCCCGATGTGCCTCTGTCCCTGCGCAGCCCGATGTGCCTCTGTCCGCTGCGCAGCCTGATGTGCCAGCCCCTGATGTGCCAGCCCCTGATGTCCAGCTAAACTGACCAATAACTGATTCCCAGCCTGCTCCTGGAGATCTTGTGTCCAGCAAACCTGCCTTCCTGGGTTCCCCTACATAAAGAGAAGTCTGCCAGCAGGAAACCCAGCCAGCCGGTTGACTCCGGCAGTAAGATATCCAGCCAGTTACGTGACCCGGGCGGTGGAACATTTTGCCCACTAAGGACTGATTGGAGCGTCCTGAGGGGGGGTACTGCTAGGAATGGACTCAGCACTGGTGGTGGGACTCACCTGCCGTGTGGGCTGCAGTACCAGGGCTGACCAGCAGGTGCTCTCAGCAGCCAGAAGCTCACTCCTGCAATCAGCTAACACCTGGGGCTGATTGCAGGAGGTGTATTTAAGGAATGGCCAGACCTGCAGTCAGGGCCTTGGTGTATTGTTTCCCATGAGCCCCTGTACCTGGTATCCTGTGAGTCTTCTGCTGCTGACCTCTGCATTGTTCTTGACCCTGCTGACCATCTCCTGTTTAACCCCTGGCTTGCCTGACCATCCTTCTGCCTGATCCTCGCTACCGCGCTGCCCGTGAGTTACTGAACCCGGCTTGTGACCCTGACCATTCTCTGCCTGCTCCTTCGGTACCTCGCTGCCCACACGTATCTGACCTGGCCTGCCTGACTACGCCTTACGCTACCCAGACCATCCATCCATCCATCCCGCATGGATCTGTCCCTGTTACCAGGTCTGCCAGCCTCTTCACGTCAGGCTCCTTTCCCCGCACACCTCTGACGACGCTCTCTACCATTGCCGGACGTACTCAGGGGTCGCGACCTGGTCTCAGTCTGCTCCAAGTCCATCCCCACCATCAGGGGCCCTGGTGAATAAGCAGATTGGGACTTAGACCCCGCGCCCTGAGGAACCATGTGCTGTGGGCTGCTAGAGACGCCACCAGGCGGTGCTTAACAGTGCCAAACGGCCTGCCTGACCATTCCACCTCTCCAGCCCTGACTATACCTGTGTTCCCACACATTTCTGGTCATACCTGGATCCCTGACAAGAGAAGAGAAGGAGGAGGAGAAGGAAAGAAGGAGGAGAAGGAAAGAATGAGGAGAAGGAAGGAGAGAAGGAGGAGAAGAAGAGGAAGAGAGAGAGGAGAGAGGAGAGATTTTCAGGAGGAGGAGAGGAGAGGAGAGAAGGAGAGGAGAGAAGGAGGGAGAGAAGGAGAGGAGGAGAGGGGGAGAAGGAGAGGAGAGAAGGAGGAGAGGAGAGAAGAGAGAGAGAAGGAGAGGAGGAAGGAGAGGAGAGGAGAGGAGAGGAGAGGGAGAGAGGAGAGGAGAGAAGGAGAAGGAGAGGGAGAAGGAGAGGAGAGAAGGAGAGGAGAGAAGGAGAGGAGAGAGAGAAGGAGAGGGGATAAGAAGGAGAGGAGAGAAGGAGAGGGGAGAAGGAAGAGGAAAGGAGAGAAGGCGAGGGGAGAAGGAGAGGAGAGAAGAGGAGAAGGAGTGAAGAAGAAGGAGAGGAGAAGTAGAGGGAGAGGAGAGAGAGAGGAAGAGGGACCTAAGTCGGCTTTCAGCTGCAAGGAAAGAGCCATACAGTGGATTGGTTCCAGTAATTGCTTCCTCGCCGCTCCGATCACCCTCTCCACTCACATCGGATTCACCTAGCTTCTTGGTCCCCACTTGTTGGCCTGGGCCCCATACAGGAGGATGGTGGTACCCCCTTATCCACATCCCTGTTGACAAGAGCAATGTGCACAGATGAATGAAGAGGTCTAAAGAAGGGGAAACCACCAATGAAGACAAATCACATCGTGAGGGACCGTCCACTGCGACTACTGACATGAATTGTCAACAAGTGGATGAACTGATTCATGTGGACAGACGAGTCACAATCGGTGAGGTTGCTGCACAACTGGACTGCTGGTTACAATGCCATATAGAAGATGTTGGAAGCCTTAGGGTATCGGAAAGTGTGTACAAAGTGAGTACCTCAGCAGCTGACACCAGATTTGAAGGAGAGAAGGGTGGAAATCTGTTCCGATCTGCTGGAAGCGTTTGAAGCCAATGAAGACACATTTTTTTTTTGCTGATCTGGTGAGAGGAGATGAAACATCGATGTACCTTTATGATCCAGAAATCAAGATCAGTCCATGGATTGGCACCATACTTTTTCCCCTACAAAGTTCAAGATCAAGCGATCAGCACAGAAATTCATGGGGACTGTTTTTGGAAAGACAAGGGTGTCATTGTCCTTGATTTTATGGAACATTTGCATACCGTAACCCACAAAAGGTACATTGAGACACTTAGGAAGCTCAGAGAATTCAATAGGAAGAAGAGACCGAGCAAGACTCTGAAAATGATCCACATTCACCAGGACAGTGAGAGACCACCAGAGAGAGAGAAACTGACCTTTCGAGCACTGGGGCACTGCCGGAGGGCCCGGGGTCAGTAGGGGGCCCCATGAAATGCCCCCGGTACCTTTTTTTTTTTATAGGCTTTTTTGAGTGTGGGCACAAGGTACACAGGGGCCCCATGATCCCCTATAGCCCGGGGGACCCATGAGTTGTCAGTCCGCCTCTGGAGACCACACACATCTATGGCAACAAATCAGGTGGTCGGCAAATTCGGTTGGTCAGTGGTCCCCCATCCATCGTATAACCCCGATATAGAGCCCTCTGATTTCCACTTCTTTGGTCCAATGAAGGACTGTATTCAGGGACAACAATCTGATGATACAGATGAGGTGAAAGTGGCTGTGAAGAAGTGGGGACAACAGTGCAGTCCTCGATTTTTTTCAAAGAGAAAACAAGTGTTGGGTTCAACAAGGGCGCAAATACATCACTTGCGATGGAGACTTTTTAAGTAGTACCTTTGTATGGAGGAAGCCATACAAAGCAGCGTGCTTACAGTTGAAAGTACTCACACAGCTTACTGTGAAACAGCACACAGTTAACCCTTTGATCGCCCCAGATGTTAACCCCTTCCTGCCCAGTGCCATTAGTACAGTGTCAGGGCTTTTTATTAGCACTGATCACTGTATTGGTGTCACTGGGGATATCAGTGACATCAAGTCAGTTTCCTCCAGTGTCAGAATTATCGCCGCAGTCCCACTATAAGTCGCTGATCGCCGCCATTACTAGTAAAAATAAAAAATATAAAAATATATCCCAGTATCTACTGTATACCGCCATTCATAGGCACCATAACGAAAACCAATTAATTTACACGTATCGGGATTTTTTTTTTTAGAACACGGAGCAGAATACATTTTGGCCTAAATTTATGAGAAAATTTTGATTTTTAAATATTTTTTTTTACTGGACGTGTTTAATAACAAAAAATTATTTTTTTTTTTTTCTCAAAATTGTTGGTCTTTTTTTTTTTCTTTCTATAGCGCAAAAAAACAAAAACGCACGGGCGATCAAATACCACCGAAAGGAAGATCAATTAGTGGCCGCGCTGGTGGGTGACCAATGCTTTTTCACAGGTACGACACTTTTTGACCTCTCGGTCCTTCCCTACCTGGAATTCTCTTCGGGAGTCACGGGATGTCCCTCCGACGGAATTTTTTTCGTTACCTTCAATTGCGGCACTGGCTGCTCTCATTGCGGGGCACTTCTGTCTTCCCGTACCAGAAATCTGCTTTGCCAACATCGGCCGGGCGCCCCGGGCCTTATTTCCCTTTTTTATGCAGCTTTGAATAGACGCTCGTCGCACACTTCTCTTTCATATGTCGTTCAGTGGGAGCGCGACCTGGGAGTGGCTGTGGATCCGGAGGACTGGAATAGGCCTGGTCACTCATAGCTAAATGCTCATTTAATACGACCACGCTGGAGGCGGCTTACAAGGTATTGTTTCGTTGGTATTGGGTTCCGGCTCGTTTGGCCCAGGCTAACCCTGCCTGCAGTGATCGATGTTTTCGGGGTTGTGGCCATCGTGGAGATGTATTGCATATCTGGTGGTCATGTCCGTGGTCATGTCCGAGACTGCTTCATTTTTGGTCTCGTGTGTTTGGCCTCCTTTTCACTTTGTTCCATCTCTCCATACGCCGGGATGCTCGGTATGCTTTGCTTCATTGCCCCATCCTGGGCCTCTTGGCTCACCAGCAGAAGTTGGCTTCCTATTTGTTTTTGTCGGCCTCTAGAACAATTGCTCAGGCCTGGAAGAGCCCGTTTGCCCCTCTTCAGGGGGTGCGGGACCGTATGACCACTATGATGCTCAATGAACAGATGTCGAGTATCCGCAACGACTCCCAATGTAAATTCTTGAA